TAAACCTTCAGCCCATAAAATATATCAAGTCATGAGATTACAGGACACTTTAACACATTTCTAAGCCTTATTCAATCTTCTAAAAATCAGCTTCTCTCAGAGATTTTTTTTTAAATCATGGCTGTGTCTGATACACATACTTTGCAAGAGCAGTGACTCATAATCATAAGGCAGTTTATCTTAATGTCTATAAATACAAGGGTGTTAGAATGGGTCTCAAAGATGAGCTGGAGATGAGCAATGAAGTGTGTGTGTGTGTGTGTGTGTGACTTTTATAATAATAATAATAATACCTCTTAAATGTCTATTAGGCCTGCTCACATGTACCTGAGGCTTGCTGCCTTGTCAGAACTTTCTGCTTCACCAAGAAAATGATGTTCTTTATGTGTTCTTGGAATCCTCTCTAACTCAGTTCAGATACACAGTGAATGTTATGAGATATACCCGTTCACTTGGAGTTTGTTGCAATCTCTGCCTTATGAAGATTTTTGTGGCCCTGTTGCTTTGATAATTGGCCTTGGCCTGTCTTTTAGATGAGAACACTCAACTGTGAAGGGGAGATGCAATCTGGTGACATCATTTTATTGCTGATGTAGCAATTAAGAGATAATCGATCAAATAAGGAAGTGATGTGGATTTTCACTTTCACCCACCAATTTCCAGTTTTCATTTACCAGTTCCTTCACTGTACTGTTTTATTTTCATATGGAGACTTCGAAGAACAAAGCTCATCAATTGACAATGTTGCAAGTCTTGGTGAGCTGCAAGAGAATGCAGTCTGCAGCACATGCAGAGGGTGTCAATGGTGGGGTTGATACTGCTCAGGATTTAAAAAAAAAACATGTTAATGACCACATATGTATAGCTCCAAGAGTTTTGGAATGAAAATACATCGGTAGTGGTGTGTTCCTAAGACTCCTCAAGGTTCATCTGTTTAAAATGGTTATGCCTCTTTTTGTACAAGTATGCTCTTCATCAGATGTGGCTGCAGGAGCACTCTGTTGTCTTCTGTAGCTGTTAACCAGTTGACAGCACCACCTGTACTGTCTCTCCTGATCTTCCCTCCTATCTACCACCACCTTCTCTAATGCTCATTGATTAAATATTCTCTAAGTTTTCTGTTTATTCCTTATTTTTACACAAGATGACTTTAAACTCACTGTGTAGCTCAGGTCAGCCTTAATCTTCCTGTCTCAACACCAAGTGATGGTATTACTGACATATATCACCACACCAGGATAGTATTTTATTATTATTATTATTTTCACTTATTCACTTTACATCCTGCTCACTGCCACTCTCCTGGCCACCTTTTCCCATAATCCTTCCCCATCCCCCTCCCTTCTCCTCTGAGTGGGTAGGGTCCCCCTAGGTACCTCCCCCCACCTCGCACTTCAAGTTTCTGTGAGGCTAGACGCTTCTTCTCCCACTGAGACCAGACAAGGCAATCCAGCTAGAAGAACATATCCCATGTACAGGCAATAGTTTTTGAGATAGCCCCTGCTCCAGTTGTTCAGGACCCACAAGAAGGTCACGTTACACACCTGCTACATATAAGTGAGAGGCCTAAGTCCAGCACACGTATGTTCTTTGATTGGTGGTTCAGACTCTGAGAAACCCACGGTACCAGATTAATTGACTCTGTTTCTCTTCCTGTGGAGTTCCTATCTCTTTAGGGGCTGTAATCCTTCCTCCTATTCTTCCATAAGAGCCTCCATGTTCCATCCACTGATTGGCTGTGGGTGTCTGCATCTGTCTGAGTCAGCTGCTGGGAAGAGCCTCTCAGAGGACAACATGCTCCTGTCTGCAAGCATAACAGAGTATCATTAATAATGTTAGAGATTGCTGCTTGCCCATGGGACTGGTTTCAAGTTGGCCCTTCATAAGCGGCAGACAGAGGGAGGAAAATGGGAGGCAGGGGGAGGGGAGGGGACAGCAGAATGGGGGATTCGGGATCACACATGGGGAAGGACAAGAGAGATGGCTACATGGCCATGAAAATAAATGAAAAGCTGCAACCCACAGGGGTGAGGAGATGAGGGCATCTCCAGGACAAGACAGAGACCTGGGATAAGGGCGGTGCCCAAGAATCATTGGAGGTGACCTTAGCTGTGACTCACTACATTGAGGAAATGGAACCTGAAGAAGACACCTCTTGTAGCCAGACAGGAACCTCAGTGGAGAGATTGATACAGCAACCCACCCACAAAACTTTCAACTCAAAATTTATCCTATCTACAAGTAATGCAGGAATAGAAGAGGGTGCAGTGTCTGAAGGAGTTGGCCAACCAATAGCTGGCCCAACTAGTATTTTTCTTTTAGGTTATCACATTTATTGCAAATGTTGGGGTCCTTAACCATATAATAACTACAATACTACAGCACATTTGTCATTGATCAAGAGTTTCTAGTACCCCAATGAGCTTTAGAAAATCAATACAGGTTTTATTTTACATTTAAGGTGTTGATCTATAATTTCTTCTACTACAGTAGAAACTTGAATACAAAATTGTATCCAGCAAAAATAGTTCAAGCAAATAATTTATCTTCAAGTAACTTGGATGAGTATTTGTCGACCATTGGTTACTCTGACCTTTAACAGGAAGTTGGCTTTGATACCCTTGGAAAGACGTAAGTGGAAGATGTGTCTGGATAACCCCTTTTATCTAAGGGAATGTGAGATACTCATCTAACACTGAAAGCAGAAAGCAGTTGAGTTGCTAGGCTATTGAGAGGTGTGTTTTCATGGAGGAATAATTTCAAGGGATGAGCTGTATGTTTATAACCTCATCAATACTAACTGAACTTGAAAGTATGAATTGTGACATTACTATTGACAGTGGGTCAAATTGTGGCCTCTGTGGTGCCTGGATTTCAATAAGCATGCGTGCTTGTTGCTATGTACTCTTACTTACACTTTACTTGCACATGATGCCCATTCTGTGCTGCATTTCGTAGTCTCCTATTTACTCTATTACCATTGCTTTGTAGATCTCCCTGTCTCCAAAGATATATGTGTAGTTAATTTGAACACAGAGAGGTACTCATGATTTGAATATCTTTTAGGGGGATTCAGACCAATAAAACTATTGACAATAATTGACTTTTAAAGTATCATATAGCAGTTTCTGCGAATACTCAGGATAAGTATAGAACAATATATTAAATACTATTTTGATAATTAATACATCTTGTTAATATTTTGGGGAAAATTACTTAAGAATACTGAAATACATTAGTCACATTCTAAGAAATTTGCTTTAATCATTTTTAGTGTTGGATCCCTTTCGTCTAACTCCAAAATCATATGTATAAGCCCCCCTCTCAATTCTTTTCACTGGGCAAGCTTACAGCTGACCAGGGTGATTGATACAGGCATTAGGGTGGACCATGATGGAGGATGAAAGTATCTGAGAAGTTTGGTTCACCATCAAGTCAACTCCTTGAAATTAGAAATATTTTATCCTTGAATCTACATATTAAGGTTCAATAAAAGCTAGAGTGGGATTATTACTTATTATTTCCAGTGAGATAAGAAATTATTATTCTTAAAGACTATAAACCATTTTAAAAATAGCAATAGTCAGTGGGCTGCAGAGATGGCTCTATTGGTTAAATGTCAGCCATGGAAGCAGCAGGACTTGAGTTCAGATCTCAAGCTCTGAGGTAAACCACTGCAGGGAAGCAATGACAGGTTCATGCTTAGAGTCTGCTGGCTAGCTAGCATAGCATAAGCTATCTTAAAAACAATGGGAATCACTGAAGGAGAGACACCCAATACTCTGTTGTAATGATAAAACATTTTGATGAAAAGCAATATGAGAGAGAAAGGGTTTATTTGATTTATGATTCACTTTAGGGAGGAACTCAAGCAGGAGCTTGCAGCAGAAAACAGAGTAATGATGCTTCTGACTTAGAGGCTCACACTCAGCTGGTTTTCTTGACAGCCCAGGCAGGACCATCTAGGGTTGATGCAACTCACAGAGGCCTGTGTCTGCCTGCATCAGCCAAGACAAACTCACACAGACCAATCTGATAATTACTTGAGTAAAATTCCATTTTCAGGGGATTCCAGAAAGTGTCAAGTTGACAGTTAATGCAAACTAGGATACTTGATACTGACCTAAAATCTGCACACACACACACACACACACACACACACACACACACACACACACACTTGACCAGGGCTGATTGGTACACATCTGTAATCCTAGCATTTGAAAGTCTGCAGCTGCCTTCCCTACTTTCCAAGAGTTTTGAGAGTTCAAATCCAGCCTGAGATAGACAGGTGAGACTCTTTCACAGGGGTGTGGGTGGTGGGAAGATACAGCATTTGGGAATTGGTTGAGTTATAACATACTCAATATGAAGAGACTAGTCAACTGACAACAATTTTCTGTCAAGATCAATTACATAATACATAAAGGTCCACAAGTAGTAACTGCATACCAATAAGTATAGAGATATGTTAAAATCATGTATTCACATGGACATTTGTGTGTATTATAAAATTGTGTATACAGGCTTTATATATAAAAGATTGTATGTGGGATTTCCTTTCATTTTTATTCATAACTATCTTTGTTACTGTAGTTAGGAATAAAAAAAACATTCTCCATGTTTACCAAGAACATTTTAATTACTACCTAACTGATCTACTGCCTAATTCTTCTCTCTAGAGAGACAAACATTGTTAACAGAATTTCACTTGGTTTTTAACTCTTAATAGGACTAATTCTATTATGTGTACTTACTACTAGATTGTTCAATCAATGTATATGGGTGACATTTTAATTTTCAAACTGAGCAAGCTCTCCTCTCTTATAAATTTTAACTTAAACAGTGTGAAACAGCTCTCACTGACTCTTGCATGTAGGTTGAGATGTGGGACGTCTCCAGGCTGCTTGCGTACCTGTCCACTATGGTTATAGATGCCAACCTTCTGGAACCCGGAAGTGACATAAGATGTACAGGAAGTTCCTCCAGCCGGTGTTTGGGTTATTGTGAAGAGCCGATCTGAAAATCCACTCTGCTGCAGGTGGTTGCTACGGAGACCCCTTGTGGAAGCCATTGTCTCCATGACTGACCAGGAGGCTAAACCTTCAAGTGGGGTCTTAGAGGATGAGAAGAAAGATGTTATCAAAGTCAAAGTTATCGGAGAAGATAGAAGTGAGATACACTTCAGACTGAAAATGACAACCAAGCTCAAGAAACTCAAGGACTCATACAGTCGAAGACAGGGTCTATCAGTGAATTCACTGAAGTTTCTCTTTGAAGGCCAGAGGATTGCCGATAACCATACTGCAGAAGAGCTGGGGATGGAGGAGGAAGATGTGATTGAAGTTTATCAAGTACAAACGGGAGGTGGGGTGTCATTCAACAGTTTAGGACGATCTGATTGAAATTTATCTGGAAAAAATGGAAATCATTCAACAGTTTAGATGTTCTTTGTAATTTTTCTTTTCCCCAATGCTGTTCTTTTTTAATTGTTCTTTTGTAATGTGGTGTTCAGAGTGAAAATTGAACATTGTCACTTCATCTCTCTAGAACATCTGGTAGTCTGAATTCTAGTACTCGGTATTCATTATTATAATGATTTTGGTGATCAGACCTCAGCTCCTTTCATAAATGCACCGTGAGGCTGCCCTTCTCAGGACCAGTTTGAGTATTTCTTATGCCATTCAATCAGTCAAGAATTCCACCATATGGCTGCTTCAAACCTAGCTTGTAATTTTCAGGGCAAGATGAAAGTTTTCAGAGAACTGCATCGTGGCAAGTGACCTTGTGTCAGATGGAAGCTGCTTCTAAAGTCTGAGGGTCTGGTCCAAGAACAGAGTACCAAATTTGGAGTGGTGATGACAGACATGGCCAGAGTCACAACTGACTGCCAAGACTGCACGCTGAAGAGAAAGCATCTCAGGATTGAATTAATCTTTTCATGTAAGCCCAGAATGTTCTAATTTTCATCAACAGTTAATAATAAAATTATTCAGGCAAAATATAATAGGAAATGTTTAAATTTGTTGAAAAGGGTGTCAAATATTTTAACAAACATCAGGACACTTGATGCCATACTTTACACATAATTCTGTCAAATTTGCTTAGAACCAACATGTTTCATATAAAAATTAAGCCCTCAATCTAATCTCATTCCTTCCCACTCTATTGTTTTTCTTTTAAAAACTATTTATTTTTGTTACTTTATGTGTATGTGAGCATGAGTGCAGGTGTCCACAGAAGCCAGAGGGGCCTCGTTTCCCTGAAGCTGCATTTACTGGTGGTTGTGAGCCATGCAACATGACTACTAGAAACTAAATCCCAGTCCTCTGCAAGAGCAGTAATCAGAGTGTGCTCTTAACTACAGAGCTATTTTTCTAGCTCCTTTTCCTCTCTTAAAAGTAAGCATTATTCAACTCACAGGCCACATGAAGCCCATAAAGAAGGAAGACCAAGTGAGGGTGATTCGGTCCTTCTTAGAAGGAGCAACAAAATACTCAAGGGAGCAAATATGGAGACAAAGTGAGGGACAGAAACTGAAGGAGGGGCCGTCTCAAGACCACTCCACCTGAGTATCTATCCCATGTGCAATCACCAAAGGTAGATGCTGATGTGGAAGACAGGAAGTGCATGCTGATAAGAGCCTGATATGGATATCTCCTCAGAGGCCTTGAAGAGTCAGACATATTCAGAGGCAGATGCTCACAACTAGCCATTGAACTGATCATGGGGTTCTCAATAGAGGAGTTAGAGTGAAGACTGAAGGAGCTGAAAGGGTTTGTGGCACCATGAGGAGAGCAACAATACCAACCAACCACAGCTCCCAGGGTCTAAACCACCAGCCTGGGAGCACTTAGGGGGGGGATCCAGGGCTTCAGCTGAATATGTAAAAGTGGAGGGCCCTGCTGGGCATAGGTGGAAGAAGAGAACCTTGACCTCATGAAGGCTGGATGCCCCAGGGGGTGGGAATTTTGAGGGTGGGGAGGTGGGAGTGGGGGGGGTAGATAGAGGTTACATCCACAGAGAAGAAGGAGGAGGGGAGAGGGGATTGGGGGTTCCGAGGGGGTGGTGGGGGATGGGGTAAGGGGACAACATAGGAAATGTAAATAAATCATCCAATAAAAAAAAATTTAAAAAAAAAAGTAAGCATTATTGTTATCTCAAAAGATAACATATATACATATCTGCATGTCTATGTATATTCATATACATAGACAATCTCATGTTTGTACTTTACAACATGTTTGATTAAAAATGATTAACATTTTTGTGGTTCAGAAATATATACAGTTATTAAAAATTATTCTTTTGAGCTGTCTTGTCAATATTTTCAATTTGATTTTATTACTATGTATAGATTCAATTACTGTTTTCTTGAATGGTAGTGTTATATTGGATGTATGTTTGTTCTTTCAAAACTCCATGTATTTATTGGTCTTACCTTAAACTGTGTCAACATCTTGCTAGCAAAAATAATGTTCTGGTGAACATCCTACCATTTGTCTCATGAGGAAAGGTACAAAGACTTAGTTAATATAACCTGTCATAGGATTGTAAAAGAAATATATGGGGGGAGGCTTTGGGGTTTCAGGAGAGACTTTAAAAAGGGAACATCTGTTTAGAAGGTTAAACAAGGATCCTCTAAGCTCAAAGAGTCATAAGAGAGAAGAATAAAGTTTACTAGGCTAATCAAATTATCATTTATGAACTTTTTCATTTCATCTCAGCTTTAACTTCAACTGGACTTTTATGTGTCTAGTGTTGGACTTTAAAATTACTTTGCTTCCAATTAGGAGGACTCTAAATTGAGCTTAAAGCTTCCATTAAATGATGTTTTCTTTTCAATGCAGTTTGCATCAAATGCTAAAGTCTTGCAATATCATATAGCCATTAAAGCTATTGATTTTTACAAGCATTTCTGGCTCTATTGACCACTTATCATTCCATTCTAAGATGGTCCACAAAACACAATGCCATCCCATAATAGCAGAGTGATTCTCTGATTCCCGTTGCTGTCTAAAACTCCTATAAACCTTCAAATTGCAGACAATTTTCCCCAATCCATATACATAACGTTAATTAATACTAGCTCCAAGTAGGAAAGTTATGGGAAAGCTTTAGACACACACAAGTGTGGGCCATGTTCTAAGGTCAAAGGGGAACCAGTGAAGGATCTGAAGTAGAGGCATGGTTTGTACTTAAAATACATCCCTCCGGAAGAGATGAAAGGACTGATGGAGTCCAAACTAAAAACATCAGCTTGACAGGCAACAAGAGTTTGCCCTGAAATGTAAAGAAGGTGAGTGAGCTCAAACACATAATTAAAGGAATGGAATGCCAGGAAAAGGAAGCAGTTGGAAGATTTAGCATGACCTCTGGTTTATCACTTCCACAGCACCAAGAGCTCAAGGGCCACATGATGAGAGTGTAGTTCAGAAGAAAGCAAATGTCCAAGATGTGTACACAGGGTTGTTGGATGAAATCATAGGGCAGTTTTCAGTAATGACACCTGACATGCGACTCAGTAGCTTAGGAGAATGGTTTTAGGTAGGGCAAAGGATTTCCTTATAACGTTAAAAGAGAGAGAGAGAGAGAGAGAACAGTGCACATCTTGTCTCTAACTTTACAGTTAAAAAGGCATTAGAAATGTCCAACACATGAGTAATTTCTGATTGTCAGTTTAATCAGTTATATAGTTTTCCTCTTATTGAAAATAGATTTTCCCTAACATAACATATCCTGATTACAGTCTCAACTTCTTCTACTCCTCCTAGTTCCCCCCACTTTCCTTCGCATCCAGATTAATCAGTTATAATTTTAAAAATACTAATTTTGACTTCTCAAAAGGGAGAGAAATATTTTCTCCCTTCTATAAATTTTCACTAAAAATTTAATATTGTTGATGTTTATTGAAGATTTGTGGAAAATAAAAAACCATCTGAAATAAATATTGACACTGCTCCTTAAAGGAATGCTGATTAATAGAAGAAAAATTACTATTATTGAGTGATATTAGTAAAAATGTATAAAAGCAAATTATTTTTACATATTGTTTGTAATTTTGTTTCCATGTCTAACAACTGAATCATATTCTAACCTGTGAGGGTGGCTTTTCCAAAATTACTATGTAGAAATTAATGATTTACTCGATCCTGAATTTTCTGGTTTTTGGATAAAATAGATTCTTGATTAGAGTCTCTTACTAGAAAACTCTAGCAAGGGTATCTACCTTTGACATAAAGACACAAATGAACTGTTGTGAGGCTGCCTGCAGGCCTTCTTTGCTCACTCTGCTGCCCCAAGTCCAATCCCTCAGTCTCATCTCCAGCACTGCAACAGAACACTAGCTACAGCCTCCTTTGCCCTCTGCCGACATCTCCAGCAGATATCACAGACCATTCCCTTCTAACCTCCCTGTCCCCATTTGCCACATTATCCCTGCACATTATCAACTGAAGCAAGCTTCTCCTGCTCAACCACAGGCCACACCTGCCAGAAAACCAGGTAGGCTACTTGCAGACCTTTCCCCCTTTTCTCTCTCTCCCTCTCACTCCTTCTCTTCCCAAGAACCAATATCTCTATCTCCAACTAGGCTTACAACAGATGGATCACCAGCTGCATCTCCCTCCTTGCCACATCTCCTGCAGATCCCACATACCTTTGTAATACTCCTTCCCAAACTTATCTCTGTATCCAGCCTTCAGTATTAGCCAGCTGAGCAGGTCAGTAAAATAGGAAACACACAGCCATCACACTCTCTGAAAATACAGAGAGAAAACAGAAATCAAGGAGCAAAACACCCACCCAGCAAAGACAAACTCAGAAATCAGCTCTTAGACCTATAATTATCCCAAATTCTAGATACCAAATCCTAGATACCAGTGTAAGAACACAATAGCAGCCAGGGAAATGTGTCTCCACTAAAGCCCAGCTATGCTACCAGAGCAGGCCCTAAATATTCCAGAATACCTGAAGCACAAGAAAAAGACAATAAAATCATCTATATGGAGACAGTGAAGGTCTGTGAAGAAGAAGTGAATAAATCCCTTTAAGTGAGTCCAGAAAAATGCAAACAAATAGAAGATATGAATAAATCGCTCAAGGAAAACAAAAAAATACCCCAAACTGTTGAAGGAAACAAATAAAACCATTCAATACCTGAAAATGTAGATAAAAGCAATAAAAGAAAAATACAAACTGAGAGAATTCTGGAAATGAAAATTTAAGGAATTTGAACAGAAACCACCAAGACAAGCTTTAGCAACAGAGCACAAGAGATGAAAGAAACTTGGGCATTAAATATATGCTAGAAGTAACAGATATTTGGTCAAAGAAAATGTTGAATCTAAAAAAGTCCTGACACAAAACATTCAAGAATTCACCATGAAAAGACCAAACCTAAGAATAGTAAGAATAGAGGAAGGAGAAAAATCCCAGCTCAAAGGCCCAGAAAATATTTTCAGCAAAATAATAGAAGAAAAAAATTTCTAACCTAAAGAAAGATATACCTATAAAGGTACAAGAAGCATACAAAATACAAAAAACATTGTACCAGGAAAAAAAGTACCTTGACACATAATACTTAAAACGCTGAATAAACAAAACAAAGAAAAATATTGAAAATTGCAAGGGGGAAAAAGCAAGTAACATAATGAGACAGATCATTTAGAATTATACCAGGCTTCTCAATGAGGAATCTAAAACCCAGAAGGGCCTGGATAGATGCTCTGCTGAATCTAAGAGACCACAGATGCCAGCCCAGAAAAACTTTCAGTCACCATAAATGAAGAAAATAAGACATTCCATAATAAAGTCAAATTTAAACAATATCTATCTATAAACCCAACACTACAGAAGGTGCTAGAAAAAAATCCTACCTAAGGATTTTTCTTAGAATTTACTTACATGTGTTTTCACCCATGAAACCACTGTAAATAAACAATTTCACACCAGCATAAACAAAAAAGGGAACACACACACCACCACCAAGATGATA